AGAAAAATTTCGCTTCATCGAAAATTCAAACTCCAGGAATAAAAATTCTGAGTAGACAAATTCTGAGTAGACAGATCTGTTCTAAAACACAAGTAGTATCTATTCTATTGATATCAGCACATATGAGTTCGATACGATGCTGCTGGAATGCTTTTACTGGCGAAAAGTGGAGGCCATGGTTTCTATAATTATCTGCATCATTTCCGGATCATTCGCATCACTTCGAAGTGTATCACATGGGCAAGGTCTTGCCTGGAGACACTCAGCTTATTTTCATTGTACCACCTTCACGCTTTCCGTATTCTCATCGAAAACCAATAGGATGTACATTTGGATACATTTAGAACAGATCTGTCTACTCAGAATCTTTATTCCGGGAGTTTGAATTTTCCATGAAGCGAAATTTTTCTAAGTCAAAACAACTGACGTCGGCTAATCGGCGTAATCGCGGCAACTCCCAACCGTACTAGCTGCCGGTTAGAATGCTGAGTGCTCCAGCCGCTCCGCCAACACCTTTGATCGACTGTCATCAAAATCCGTGTTGGCGTGTGTGGCTGGGTTCGAGCCTACCTACGCCCTCCGTTTTCGAATTTTCGCAAGATTATAATGTCTCAGTCCTCCGTATCTACTCCAGTCTCCCTGAATATAGTTGCTCTCATGAAGTCAGATTTAACCGAGTTTCTCTTGTCCCCTCTTCTATTTTGTGGCGGCAATGTTAACCCACTTCGGAGTCCGAGGTTACTAATAGACCGACACTTCCGGTTCTTTCGTCCCCTACTTTTGGGCCGTTATGCGCACAAATTTCCGCCCTTCCCTGATTCTCCGCAACATTCGACTCCTCGATGCTGTGCCAATGCTGTTAGAATGACAGGACTCAGGCTCGCAGAAGTTCAGAAGCTTCACAGCTTCGTGCATCACAATATAAGGGGCACCATCCACAACACAGCGGCATCGATATCTCCCTCCATTCTCAATCCCGATGGATGAGAACTTGCACACAGACGAAGCATTTAAGTCTCACTCGACGGGCAATCGGCGGGGCTCCATGCCGTACGTTCTTCCAGTCGACCTCGGCGATGGTGCTCACTAATTCCGCCGGGCGGTCGTGCGCCAATTCAGCTATGCTGGCGCCTTTTTCCCGAGTTCGCGTAACCTTGTAGTCGAGGGGGGTGTCTTCACGAGCAATGTAATAACGAATGTCACACACAACCATCATACCTATCCGCCCACGCACGGTATGGCTCTACACATCTCAATTGGCGGCTCGTTAAATATCAGCAGAATTTCGGAAAATACCAATGGGAGAAATAGATCTTCAGCATGAGATACGATTGGACCACGATTCCAGCATTGTATACGGACGACGTGTACAAAGGTCCGCTCGGCGAATGTACTCGGCCAGAGTTCAAGTTGATGGCTGTAAATCAGCAATGACTGTCGCATGGTACCAGGGCCCAAATGCGGAACAGGTGCGACCTCCCTCCAGACATAGAATCCCACCAACATGGTTCTTCGCAGAAATGGCGCCAGGATATCTCAATACACTCGTGGCTTCGGTCAGTATCTTTCAACCTGGTCCCCAACAAATGAGTTCATGTGATACCTCTCCAGGCATCCCAACTTTGTCCAGCTCTATGGAGTGGCCAGCACTGGCTCCATGCATGCTGCAGTGTTTCACAACGGTGCGAAGCAATCTGGACAATATTCAGTGTTCCTGAGAATGTTCCTGTTCAGATCTCATCCCTGTTGAAGAATTTGTCGACATCTATCGCAATTCACCTATCCTGTCCCTCTATTTCCGTGCCTACTGGGTACGTAAATCTTCCACCTGTTATAGCAGATGCTGAGTTTCCCGAAGGCGGAGGAGTTTCGTGTAGGGAGATCGACTAATCTTGTCTCAGCTACTAATTCTGCGGCTACAGGAAGTGAATGATTATCTACACTCGATGTTCAACCGAGCGGTTGTGAGTGATTACCAGTATCTGTGTTCTTCCCTTCACTTACAACCGCAGAGTGAGAATAAATGCACACTGTGGATACGGGGCTCAGATCGCCGGTTGTGTGTTAACGACGTGATACTCAATGGCAACTACCCGTGGGGTTGTTCGTATTTGAGGGGCGTACATTACTGGAGACCGGGGCGCGAAGACGTTGATATAATGTCCTACAACGGACCCAACCACGAAGCTGTGGTAATTTCTTCACTAGCCCTCAGTCATTACCACGAATTCTGTGGCCACTATCAGTCCCGCTCACGAAGCTTCTGCCTCCCCGCACATGCAACGGCTACTGTCGGAATGGTAGTCAAGCACCATCCCTCGAGTTGCGAAGTCGAATCCCCGGTTAACATTGCGTTTATGCCTCGTCTGGACATTGTGGTCCTGAACACATCCTGGAGCTGGGCCAGTGGTGCAGACTCCAGTTGTGGGTCGGACGTCTGGCCTGGGGACCTGCCAGGTACCTTGATGTCAGATTCCTGGCGACGGTATTGAGTCTTGTATTTTTGTGGGTTTATACTTATCTGGTCAAAGGTACAGATTTGATCAAATTTCCGCGGTCACTTCAATAACCCGTTACTTGTATTTCAATTATTTGGACCTCTGGCTTGGTCAGGCCAACCACATGTTCAGTTCTCTTCACATCACATCCAACCACGACCAATATGGTGCGTCCGTGAACCCGATACTTCTACTTCTATTCCCGCTTACATGTATCTGAAAGCTGTTGTTGATCGGGTTCGATTCACATGCATCTTTACGCCGACCACACTTCCAAGTTGCCCGTCTCAAGGGTGGCTTTTTGTCTGCCCAGATGCTCAGCTGCGCTCTGGTCCCTGTTCATTCAGATGGCCAGACTGTGCAGCATACTGGTCCCGCGATCCTTTCGGGGCTGTGCGTCTAAGCACTGAGGAGGCCGAAGAAGCTGGATTCCCCCTCATTAAGTTACAATTAAGGGTCTCGGGGAAGTACTGGGACGATACTGATTACGCTCGGCTGTGGCAATTTCATCAAGCAAAAGGGTTTGTACCCAACAGTCAGGAAATTGCCCAACATCTGGGGCATCCACTATATCAGCTGTGCGATGAGCTCACAGTTGAGGCACCCTTTGCACATGGTAAGTTGAACTTTTGGTATCTGAATGTTTACTGATATCTGGAAGTCACCGGCGAGGGTAAAGAGGAAGACAATACCAATCAACATGATACAGCGAATACGAGTGCGATGAGCGAGGAAGATGCACATGAAACAGTTGCCTCTGGTGAGCATGAGTCACATGCTCGACAGGTGTCCTTGCTGATTTCTTTGCAGAGCATGGCGATGAAGATGACAAGCCTCAGGCTGGCCCTCGCATTCATGTTGAAATTTTGCTCCAGTCCACGGCCTTCAGATTATCATTCAAATTACCGACTGCCATTTTGGCACTGGTAGTGTTTTGCTGTCTCTCCTACGCTGCATATTAGTCATCCCTTTCGATATTACCCCCGGCTCAAGTCTGTATCTCGACTTGCTAATGCTTTATATTTTTATATGTGGTACAGTCGTAAAAGCGCTTGAACATGAACAGTAAAATAGATGAACAAAGTTGCTTATGAGACTCCCGAAGTATGTCCACTGATTCAGTCTTCATGTCTAGAGAAATACGAAGCATATTCTGGCCAAAAAAATACAGGAAGTTGCGGTAAATTCTAGGTAAGCATTATGTGAAGTTGATAATATGAGACTCGAATTTTCAGTGTAGATGGTGTACACAGGTTGTTGAAAAGTCCCTGTGTGAGAATTAGTCCTTGGAGCCCGCACATGATGGTCGCGTCAACGCCATGGTAGTTGCCGTGTCACCTATATCAGACTTAGTTAGCACCTGTTGGCACTGACTCCGCAAGCCACGGTGCGGAAAGAACACGACGGTCAAGTCCCGGATGAGTGAGAGGTTCAGACTCTATACTTTACCCACACTTCTTTGATGCGCTCCCCCAGAATGGCAGGAAGGAATTTGAAAGAAGGAGAAGTGTATTCTTGGCTCAAGTCAGGATAATCAACTCTTTGTGGCAGAACTCACTGCTGACATCAGTCAACGAGCTTTTGGGCCCCGGCGCGACACGCAAGGTGTAATTCCGGTAAGATATCACTCAATAAATTCAACATGCCCCAATCTGGGCTTGCGCATGATTGTGTTCAGGCTCATTTTCCTCGATGAAGGTCGACCAGAGCCCCCAAATTTCGGAAACAGTGAATCTGTACCACTCTCCCTCCAGTTACAGCTCTTTGCGGAACTTAGGGCGCGGACGATTTTTTTCTGTCTTTGATTGTTTTGACGAGAACACTCATAGCGCCCTCAGTCCTGGTCCGTTTACCTTCGGAGTAGGCTCAATCGAATTGCATTCGCGATACGCAGCTTTATGTGTCCTCACATTTTTAACTCGGTGTGGGGGTCTCAGGTAAGCATATTTTGGGACATTTTCAGGCAGGACAGCTGGGGCATCAGTAGTTCACCTCCGATTGCTCTAAATTTTTTATATGATGTACTTCTATGCATAATCTAGTTCCTGAAATACCGCGATAGTGAATATGATCCCAGGTTCCGATATACAACAGCAGGCTGACTGAGAAGGCAAATTAGCCCAATATTTCCTGATCCCTAGATTGAAATTAGACATTACATCCACTATCGCGGTATTCCAGGAACTAGATAATACATAGAAGTCCACCATAACAAAAATTTAGGGCACCTGGGAAAGAAATAGTGATGCCCCAGCTGTCCTGCTCGGAAATGTGTCAAAATGTATGAAAATTTGACCCCAGATCAAATTAAAAGATCTGAGGACACAGGAAACTGCGAATCGGGATTCTGAGAAGATTGAGCCTACTCCGAAGGTAAACGGACCAGGACTGAGGGCGCTATGAGTGTTCTCGTCAAAACAATCAAAAACAGAAAAAAATCGTCCGCGCCCTAAGTTCCGCAAAGAGCTGTAATTTACCCATCCATTTTCGAATTGGGCAGGTGTTCAAGGGGTCTAGTGGTTCCGATCCCCACCTTTCATTTTTCATTGTGTCGTGGGCGACCGAGGTTCGAGTCCTCGCCTGTGCCAACACTCTTTTTTTCCTGCGTATTCGGGAAGCCGACCAGGGAGATAAGCCCGTCAAAATAGCAAATAGTGTTTTAATTTTCTACGCTACCTCGCACGCTTTCGTTTTCTGTACAATCAATGCCTTCGGGGATTCATTTACAGCAAGAAAATTGTGGGAGCAAGATTACGGGAGCCAATTCCAAAACGGATTCAAACACTCTTCGCGCGGCTTCGGTTCGTCTGGATTGCGCATGTTTTGGAGATAATTCAACACTGGCGCTATAGCAGGAAATACATAATGCATAGAGCTGAACTTTGCGAGAAACTAGATCATTCCAAGCGAAAAGCGGTCTCGCCGACCACACTCACACACCAGTCACAGATCTCCAGCTAAATCATGGAGGTGCTTTGAATAAGACTGGCTGCGTCCTTGAATCGGGGCGTAATGGAGCATTTGAAAGGAACTGGGTTGCTAGATGGCATGTCAATGTCAGCCAGCATTTCCGCGATATAGCTGAATTTTCATACGATACGAGTCCATGTTGGTACTCATAAGAGGGCTCGATGGTTTGTCCATCCTCCCCGAATTCCTTGTTGATGTCAAACACAGCGAGAATGGAGACGACTGCGATCCAGATCGACGAAGTGGCCATGTGTCTTCCGGAACATATTCTGGAGAAAACCATCATCAGTTTCCGGGGAGTGATGCAGGTACGGAGAGACCGTCGCCCGAAGCCGAATGCAGCCTGTGGGTCTTTAACCGCCGGATTGGGCTTCCCATCGAGGAGGAAGCGCTCGGGTTTGAAGGCGTATGGATCCGGGTACATTTTCTAGGCAGATTAGATAGAACCATAACAGTATGGGTGACGCACTTCATCATGGAGGATAGCCCTAAGTATATTGAATCAGGATCCCACTTTGATGCCACAAATTAATATACACGCACCACGAGTTTCCGAAGACACGAGACCCCGCCGGCAGACGATAACCACGATACTCATCTTCTACGGGGAGGAAGTGAGGGGCAGCTGGACACCAAACGAGCATTAGTACGAGATTCGGGATACTGTAATCAAAGGGCAGAGGACCAAGGGGGGTCACATTCCTCCACCGCAGGACCTCTTTGACCAGAGCCGCAATATACGGCATCGCCTCCTCATCGCTGAAATCCGGTAAGTTTCCTTGCTCAACAACTGAGTCGATCTCGATTTGGGCCTTCTTCTGAGCATCTGGATTCGCGAGCATAGCAAGGAAGAATGTGGACAGGGCCGAAACGGTCGTGTCGGCCCCTGCAATATACATCGTGGCGGCGACATTTTTCACGCTATCTTCCTGGTAGTATTGATCCTCAGTTTGAAGATTTCGCAGAGCATTGGCGGTGAAGGACGTTGGAGCTCCTCCCAAGGCCTGGTCGAACAGAAAAGAAAACCTTGAACGCAGTTTTATCATCTGGCTTCAGGTCACACACCATGCGGCGTTTGGTCTCATTGAATGGCAGATCCCTGAGATCCTGTGCCAATTTTCTCCCTTCCCGAGCTATGCGTTGAAACTTTGCCCCCGGAACCCACTCGGGGACATATTTCAAACTCGGAATTAGATCCTGATGCACCGTGGTTAGCTACCGAATTGCATTAGCTAAGATACTCACAACGAGGAACTTTCCAGGAGCACCGCATTTCGAGATCACTTCCATTCCCTTCTCAGCTAGCGCGATGTATGGGTCATCAGCGGGTAAGACGTCAATTCCATACGTAACCGCCATGATTGTTTCACCCGCCATTCTATGCAATCGTCAGGCGATACAGAGTGAAGGGATAAACTCGGATATCATACTGCCGGAGGTGATCCAGGAAACCGTCCGGGTTGCTAACACGCCGGCGAAGGAGCTCATGGGCGGCGAAGCGCTGGCGTGGACGAGAGGCGGCGGCTACGCCCGTGGTGAATTCTCGGTTAAATAAACGACGATCGGTCCGCCTAGGTAAAAAAGAGGATCTAGTCAACATGGAGCCTCACTCCCGGCATTCTAAGCCTACCATTCATTCCCTGAAATTCGTCCTGAGCAGGTTAGATCTTTGCGCTCGATTGGAGGGAGTGGCACCGTATTTCATGAAGGCTAACATTCCACGTTATTCAAAGGCGCACGAAAGGCGGGAAACAATCACATAGCATGTAATTCCATCCCATTAAGTCTCCGAGCATCGGAACCGTAGGTCTGCAATCAGAGTTGTATAGAAGTAAAGTGCCAGTTCATGCCATACCTGTCCGAATAGATCGAAGAACGCTTTTCGAGGAGGGCATTAGTTGCCTCGAGCGACGAAAGGACAATGATAGAGGTCCCCGCAAGATTCAAGTGGATAATGTCGGAGTCTGCGAATATATATGAGCAAGCATTGCTAGCAATGAGGGGTCAAGAGACTGTATCTCTTGCTCCATTCCATCCAGGTTTCCCAAGGTTTGACAGACATATCATCGAAGACATTGCCAAGAAGAGGTAGCCTCTTCGGTCCTGGCGGTAATGGCAATTGGGAGCGCCATGGCGTCCGCAACCAAGTGAAATAGAGCACTGCTGCTGCGAGGATTGCCCAGATCAACCAACCCGGGATGTTGTCAGAGGACATGATTGTGGGGATCGGTAGGAAGCTAGAGACTTGAGCCAGCGGCTTTTATTCCGATTATGCCACCACGTCATGTGAACCCACCAGCAGACATGACGGAGATTGAAGGGACCACATTCCCAAAAATGTACATATTCCGGCGTCTCCATGGGTATTGAACTGTGGAGGTAATATGTTAATATAGGATTGGCGTCCTATAGCTCAGAGGACGGGTCCATGAAGGAAAATGCGACTGGAACCACTCTGGGGGGATGCTCACACTTTAAGAGCCCGATGCATGTCGTTGCGCGAGTCTGTCTGCGCGTAGCGGTCGGAAAGAGAGATTACACTCCAGATGTGGGCTGTAAAACAGGGAAGTCTATGACCGGTTTCGATGACGAGGCGCCCCGCCATGATGATGGAGCGTGTTGAAATAGGCCTGTTACGTGTGTAGAACGTGTCACAGATGCGGGCCGTCCGCTAAATATACCTAGACTCACATACTTTTAAAAAGCAATAACAGAAAATATCTCCTAATCACACTGGATGGCTTCGGCCTGAGTCGAACAGGCAGCCCTCTGCCGTGATCGAATTCATCGCAGGAATCGACACAAAGCGATACATATCACTCGATGTACTTCCACACTTATGAGGGAGGAATGCCCGTTCGCTCAGAGGGAAGAAAGAGGACAGATGCGGGGCAATGAGATGTAGGACATCTACTTAGACTATAAGCGAGATTTTGTGGAAATTGTCTAAAATGATCGATGAGTACAGAGGAATAAATCAACCATCCCGAGGAAGTGCTCCTCCCCCGTTGAAAACAGATGTTCCGAAGCTCCGGAAACGAGCAGAATCTGATGGAAGGGCTCGCCACAGCAAAGTAGAGAAAAAGAAACCAGCATTCCATGTATAACTCCGGCCTGGGTCGAACAGGCGATAATCCCATCATGAAAGTGACCATCCCTTGTGGCAAACATGAATCGATGGTGCGGACCCTCCGCACGGAGTCTCTTCTAACGGTGGAACGGAAGGGATTGGTGGATCCCAAGGATTTATTCTCAAGAGACTAGTACTGCTCTTGCAATGAGGCTGGCAATCACCATTTATTCCAGCATGCACATTGCGGGAGCTTACCTTGTAATTTGAAGCTAGTGTTTAGCTTTAAATCCGACAATGCTAACAACATCTGTGCGGCAAAAGAAGTCTGGCAACTTTTCATTGCTTCGGCCTGAATCGAACAGGCACCCTCTGCCGAACAGTCTCCCTCGTTTATAATACGCGGGACCACCCGCCACGGAGCCTTGCACTACACACAAACATCTTCGTATACATGTAGTCTATGGTCTGTGGTACAGTATACAGCAGCATATATGATTGTTGAGAAAAAGGCACCTAGAAAGGCTCCGAGCTGGCTTTGTCTGCTTGCTGCTATCGGGACAAAGCACAGCTGCCGCAGACCATGCACCGCGGAGCCTGGTACCGCACTTACCTTGCCTGCCAATGGAGAAAGGTTCTGGAGAAACGTAGAGAAAGAAAAAAAGAGCAAGCGCAAATCTAAAGGCTCCAGCCTGATTCGAACAGGCCCGATCTATTTGGGAATGCATTATGAGACGGGGGTATGTTGACCACCCGCCACGGAGCCTTCTCATTATCGCTGGTGTTCCGCATATGAATCTAAGGCCCGAAGGCCGAGATGAATTTTCTTTCGTTTTGAATTGGAGTTGGGAAAAATATTGTTGCGGGTTCGAGTTCAAGGCCAACAATTTATGATCACGTAAAATTATGTTGAATCCCAGGCCAGATATGTTACCGAAATTGATCTGGTCCTTTGAATCTGACGGACGTAGAGTGGAAACAACTGATCTAAATTCGAACTTGGCCAGACGCGACATTGATTGTGATTCGAATAAGCTGCAATAAATCATACTTAGACCTGGCATTCATTAATAGGGCTGGAGGAATCGTGATCTAGGACCCAAGGGGATGAGCTCACCCTGCATCTACTCCGCTCTACTCCGTTGACTCCGCTGCAAATGGGTTACGCGGGGACCGAAGACATATCACGTAACCCCGCGGTGCAAACGGCGGTAGGGTGACTCTCGGTGTTTTAGAGACGTACAATATATTTTGAGCTGTGGCGTTGAGCTGCGGCGGACAAAGGATCAGATGTCCGTTGGCGCCGCAATCCTCTCGGGCGGTCCCGTCCAGTACATACATAGCAACCTCGTCAACGCGGAGATGATAGATCCTGCGACCCTCGAAAAAAAAATGAGAGGCTAGGTAGGCCGACAGCCGGCTCGAGGATAACCGAATGCGATTTTTCGCTCCCATGAACGAGGCGATCTGGTGATATGAATCATATCATCCCGCTTCGTGCGAGTCAAGAAGTTGCACGTGGGAACAAAGCCCAATCCGGTTGCGAT